AGCTAAGGAAGAGAGAACATGAGGCCCACGACTTGCATGATCATGTCAATGCTTTCTCTACTCCCATGTGCTCTCTTCTTTCTCAGTCCTCTCCCCTCCTGATTCTCTCTTCTCATCTCCATGTATTCTAACACTAATTGTTAACATTTATTGAATATTTGCTATGTGCCAGACACTGTTCTAAATGCTTTGTTATGTATCATTCAAACCTTAATAAAAAAAAAAATCAACACTAAGAAAAATTTCATACTCCTATGGGTACCAAACTCTGCAGATGCTCAAGTTCCTTGGATAAAACAATGTGGTATTCCTTATTACCTCTGCACATTCCCCTGAATATTTTAGACCTTCTATAGATTGCTTATAATATCTAATACAAGTGCTATGTACATATTTGTTATACTTTATTTTAGTTGAGAAATAATGACAAGAAAATGTCTGTCTGTGTTCAGTACAGATGCAATTTGTCCTGAATATTATTGCTCTGTGGTTGTTGAATTCATGGATACAGAATTGTATCCATGACTATACTCTCATGATCCCCACCTTGGAGATAAGGACAACAAATTCAGGAAAGTACTGCTTGTCAAGGTCATAACAACTGGTAAATGGCAACAACAGAATTTAAAACCACTTTTCTGTTCAGAGTGTTTACACCTACCCATTGTGTTATGCTGCTTATGGCAAGTTTAGTTTATCTATCAACTGGTCCTATCCACATATATACATATATAGTCAGTGAATAAACTTCTCCAGAGAAGAAGTGCATAGACATCTCTTTATTTATTAATGTTTATTCCACTGACACAAATAGAAACACACCTTTCAGAATAGTATGTATTCTTTTTTTTTTTTTAATTTCAGGGAAAGAGAGAGAGGGGAGAAATATGTGAGTTAGTGCAAACAGCAGGATGGCAGGATGTAGGTGAGGGATGGTGGAGGAGTGTAGAGAATTAGTCCTCAATTTCTTGTGTGTTCTGACCCATATGAGAGAAGCTGGGAAATGTAGGTTTCAAATCAATCAAAGGAACTAAACACTGTACCACCTCAAATTGGGCTGTTAAGACAGTGAATTTTCTCTCATGGAAGAATGTGAGCAAAGACTGAGTAGGTTGACAGAGATGTTGTAAAGGGAATTTGAGGCATAAACTTTATGGAATATGCTCCTGAAAATTATTTCACTTGGAGAGTTGAAAATAATTCTATAATTCTTACAAGCATTTTATCTTTTCTAAAGTCTTCTCGGTCTGTTTTCTTATATAACCAGTGGTACTTATCTAGTCTGAGACAAATAACTCTGATGAGTGATTAATTAGGTATAGAAATCTTTGCCATTATCCTCCCCCGCATCCTTTGTAACTCTCAAAACAATGTAACACTATTCCAAGGTTGTGTAATTATGGACATTTGATAGCTGGATTCAATTACCTTTGTGTGTCAAAGAAATATTACTTCACCATTCCAAAATAACATTTATGGTTTTAAAAGAATTAATAGTTCCTCATCATATATCTACCAAACACATCACTTGGGCAAAATCAGGTTAAATCATGATTTTGTACATAATTAGAAGAAACTAGAAAAGAAACATAAGATAATAGCTTCTAATGTATTTTAAACTGTATGAAGTTTTAAAATGTTTTAACTATAATTACAAAATTATACTATAAGTCCTTAATGGCTTCTCGAAGAAATGAAACTTTAAAACTTATTAAGT